CGCTAAGGAATTACAGGGTAATTTTTAGAACTCGAATCTCCATCTTATGTGTTTAGAGAAAGGTGTAGTGACTTATCTTGGTAGCTGGTCTTTGAAAATGACAGTTTCCAAGATAGTTCAGATACAGAGAGAACTCTCTCGTTCTAGTCCATGAAAAAGCAGCTGAAGTCATTGCTTTTCTGAATGCTGGAGAGAAAAGCTTTTCTACCTGCTGGCAGTTGCTGTCAAGGTGCTCTTAGATTAGACCTAGTGGGAAGAGGAGGGTTCACAACAGTGCAACAAGAGGAGCAAAACAAAAAAAAAACTATTAAAAATCAAAATCTCATTAGTGGCTGGAGGAATTAAATTGTAATTGCATCTCTAATTGTCGTCTTTTCATGTTTAGCTCARTCAGAACTGAGCTCTCAAACAGGACACCGCTGTGTCTGTCTTCTGTTGACCGGTGGTTGTTAAGCAGAACTTTGTCGTGCTGCTGGAATTAAGTAAATGTGGAAGTGCTGGAATTAAGCACTGCATAGTGCTTAATATAAGATGTGGTTGCCTGCTTAAATGCAACATCAGGTGTTTTTGTAACTGTGAAATTGCTGGGACTTGGACCCCTCTGAAGCAGGAAGCCCAAGTCTGTTCTTGTCCTTCTAGGTGGTGTCTCCATATGAGCAAAAACTCTGCAGAGAGGAGGAGATACCAGTGCACACTGACTCGCTGGGTTTGTTTTGCACAGAAAACGAAGCAGATGGGCGCCTGTCAGTGGTAGAGTGACAGCGAGCACAAAGCTGAGCTGCTCAGKGCCTCCTTTGGCTTTGCTGTGAGGGTCCTCAGGGCCAGCGTCTCCAGTGCCCCAGGGCCTTGGAAGCAGCATTCAGGGAAGGAGGAGCGAGTGGAAAAGAGTGAGTCAGGGACAACCTGAGAACATGCCCATCTTCAACCTGAATGTCAGCCCGGCTGCAGCAAGAACGAGATGAGTCATGTGGGAGCTACAGGTCGGTGAGTGCGGCTTTGGGCTCGGGGAAAGGCTTGGCCCACGTTCTTGTGGAAGCCTTTCCTGGGCATGTGAGGGACTCCTGGGAAGAGCCAGCATGGATTTATGGTGGTGAATAGTGCTTGACCATCTTAACTGGCATCTCTGCTGAAGTCACTAGGTCTCTGGATGAGGGAAGAGCAGGGGATCCCGTAAACCTTGAGCTTACTGAAGCCTTCCACATGGTCTTGTGCAAGTGCTTTGTTCTTGCCTGGTTCCACAGCAGTAGCTGCTTTTCCCGGATAACCTCTCTGCAGCTTTTGGAGCTGGCTGCAGGAGCTGATGCACTGGCAGGTTTTAGTGTGAGGGCAAGGAATCTCCGAAAGAAAGGACAAATTCTGCCCGACAGCTTCGGTCCCCCTGTGCACCCGCTGTCTGAGTGCTAGCTCAGCTCTTTGTGCCAAAGCAAGACGAGAAAAGTGACCTTAGAGCCATGTGAGCAGCCTCGTGAGCCCTGCCTTTCCCTAGGGAAGAAGCTGTATATACATATGTGTGCACAGATACACAAGAAAGCCAACAGCAATGTGCAAAARCTGAGATTCCCCTCAAGAGGCCGAGCAGCTACCAGGCTCACTGGAGGGATTAATCCCAGTGTGTGTAGAGTGGGCTCAGTGGGGGGCTCCTGCACATCTCGTCCCTCTTCCCACAGAGCTGGTGCTTCCTGCTCGTGTTGAGCCCGCGAGCGCGGGGCTCGGGGTGCCCGGGGGCTCGGGGTGCCCGGCCCCAAAGCGCCCCATCGCTGGCATGGATCAGCTTTCAGCTGCCGCTCCCCAGTGTTTAGGCAGTTCCTTCCCAAGTGGCTCTGCAGGTAGTGCCTGATGGGGGCCGGATATAAGGAAAAAATCCGGCGCCATTGATTCCTCATGAATAAATAGCTGCTCAGAGAGGTTGCTTATCATCTAAAGCAGCATTTCCTTACCTGGATTTGCAGATTCTCAGTATTGCCAAAGCGAACCTGAGTAACCCAGATCTTCAGGGCTCTGGGGTGGCTTTGGGAGTGCGGTGACTCCTTGCACTGAGTTTTTTGCCTTCAGTTCATAGTCCAGCAGATCTACCTGCTATATCCRTGGAAGAGCTAAGCTACAAAGAATGCAGGAGCACAGCCTGGCTTCCTGATGTGTTTGGATTTGCTGGAATTTTCTCTAAGCTCCCTTGCTCTCTCCCAGGGGTGAGCAAGTGAGGAAAGAGGGTGCCTGTTGAGGCCTGTCCCGACGAGCCTGGAGCTTCCTGCTGCCTCCTCGTCAGCTGGGGCTTGTACCAGGGCTGCAGCTTGGATTTTCCCTCAAGCTGCAGCCAAAGGTGCCAACGTAAAGAACGCCAGGCCGGGTTCGCCAAGGATTTCTGGGTGCCTGCTTTTGCCTGGGGGAAAGGCGGCCCTGCGATTGGGATCGCCTGCTCGGGAGCCAGAGCTGAGGTTTTTACAGGCCGGTGCAGTCTGTGCATTGGTCAGCTCTTCCTGTATTGCTTGCTAAGAAGTCACAGCAAAGGTTCAGTGTTAAGTTCTACTAAGAAGCAGGTGGTTTTTTTTGGTGGAGGGTGTTGTTTTTAAATGAAGAACCGATGTCCAGAGTGCTCCAAAGTGCCCCAATGAGTTAGTGCAACGCGCGTGATGCTGTGGAGGAGAATGGCTTTGGGCCCAGCCTTCCTCTCAGATAGAAAATTCCCTTTGCAGCTTGTCCTCAGAGCCCTTCCTAGCCACACATTAGAAACACAGTTCTGCTGAGCCCATGTCCAGGCCCCAACCTTCACTCTGTGGTGAGGATGCAAAGGAGGGTCTTCAGCATCCCCCCCAACATCCTCCTCGTAGAGTTAAAGCCCCGGGAAAACAGTGTTTGCACATAAAATGTAGGGTGTGTTTGGGACTGTTGTATCTTCATTCCTTCCAGGTGTGAATAGTTGGTAGAAAAAATATTTGGAAGCGTCTAAAGAGCAATTGAGATCAGTGAAAGCTTYGTTAAGAGCAGAAACCTCATGTCCTGCGTGATGCTTAGGTTGRGCTGCCCTCGAAAGGAGGAGGTGTGTTGATAACTGAGGAGTTCTTACAAGGTGTTTCATGTTAATTTATCAATAACGTGTTGCCTGCATATTTTTAATGGAATGAACCTTCCATCGGCCTAAAACTCATGTGCGAGAACGACAGTGACTTGAAGAGTTGCTAATTTGCCCCGTTAATGTGTTTGGGGAGGGGACCATGGCCCTTCTTGGTTAGCATCACACCCCAGACAAATTAATAACTACAGCCCACAGTTAGCTCCGTGATTTCACCCCGTGCAGCCCTGCCTGCAGGGTCCTGCCCGCCTTCCCGCTGCTCCCAGGCTTTCTGCTGCATTTTTGCTTTTAAAGAAAAACTATTTTTAGGGCTGCTTACTGGGCCCAGCTGTCACCTCCAAAGATCCCTGAGGGATATCTGTTTCCTCACTGGTTTTGTGCTCTTTGTTCCTAGTGCTARATAGGTAAATAATGAATAATAATAAATAGCTAGATTGGTTCTTGCTGTTGGCGATAATGTAGTGTTTTTGGTYGTGTTTCTGTGTTGTTTGGATCCACCTTGCTTTAGGTATTTGGGGAGAATGTTCAGCTGTGCTTCCAAACCTTTGGACAGTGTCCTGCCACCCAAGGTGAGTGATGGCTGGGACAGAGGCGCGTAGAAGATGCTGTCCAGGCATCAGGAACGTGACTCGAGCCCTATTAACGGAGTCCTATTAACGGAGTCCTATTAACGGAGCCCTATTAACGGAGCCCTATTAACGGAGCCCTATTAACGGGGAGGCACCTCCGGCACCTCTGCCATTGCCCCAAGTCCTTCACGCGAGGGCCAAACACTTGAGCTTCTGAAGCTGCTTTTGGCATTACAGAACAGGCAAAACCGACTCTGAGATGGGGTGATGACCAATTTTGTCTTATTTTGYCCTTATCGTGAGGTCTAGTAACTTTCTGAAGTCTTGGTGCTGTGAGTGTAGGAACCTAAAGGCGGCTGAGGAGTTTCTGTCTGTTTAATGCTGTGAGTTCAGGTTTTAGGGCCTTGTCGGTTGCCTGCAGCAACAGCAGAGACTTGACATTTCGAGGAGACCCAGAAGGGAGCTGCAAGCCCCGAGGAACGACAAAAACTTGCTTATTAGACTGTGTGAACTGCACTAAAGCACAGGAGACCCTCCAAAGTTGCAAATAAAAGTATAGCACTATCTTAAATGGTGTTTTATTTATTTATTTATTTTTAAAATAACCTGTTATCCCCCTTAAACTGTATCCCCAAATTAATCTGAATGTCCCTGGCGGTTCCCCCTGCCTACAGCCCATTCCTCTGCAGCCCTGAGGACTTGGCTGGTGCCCTTCAGGCAGGCCCGAGCTGAACAGGTCCCAGGAGCTTTGCAGAAATCCACTCCTGCAGCCCGCTCGAGCTCATTTGGGAGCAGTTAGAGGCAAAYGGCCATTGCTGTTTATAACCCCTTGTGTTACGGAGGCTGAGCTAGTATCACAGCGGTAAAACTTGAACTAAACTGCTTTTTTGGAGGTGGTTTGGTAGGTTTGTTGGCTGTTTGCCATTTAGCGGGTTTGGTTTTCAAGCCCCACGTATCTGATCCTAGTTACAGTGATTTAAAAATGGAACTGGATAAAGTGACCTTGAGGAGGCCTCCGGGGGGGCACGAGGTGCCACGTCCGGCGGTGCTTGGAGGGGCAGTTTTTGGAATAGTGTCTAACCACAAGCATTAGGCAAAAAACGTTAAAAAAAAAAAAAAATAATTCTGGAGCATCTGCAAAATAGCGTGGCCCATCTTTTTGGAAAATAATATGTGTGGAGGCTTCGGGGTCCTGTTCCCCTTGGCTGGAGTTCTCTGTGGCGCGGCTCGTTCTGACACCCTTCCTTTGCCTGACAGTGCAACACGAGGGAAAAGCTGTTTATCTGAAGCAATTCTGGCTTGATGTGGATTAGCTCCTTTGTAAATAAAGACCAATTTCTTACTCATGTGTTTGTTTATTTCAGGGATAGACTTCAAGATTAAAACTGTTGAATTACAAGGAAAGAAGATCAAGCTCCAGATATGGTGAGTGAAACAGCCGCGGAGCTGCCTGGTGGCCCCCTGGGACGGCTGCCTTCACAGACAGGTTTAGCAGGGTGGGATCTCGGGAGACACTGAGGTTGCCCAGGCTGCCTTCAGGGATGCCATTCCGTAACTGTGCCCTGGATCCCCCACTGTGGTAAAAGTTCACGTGTGGGAAACCTGCAGGGTCCGTGGAGGGCCAGAACCTGAGCTCACTCACTCCCTGCCGTGGTCCTTAGCTCCCACCTTGGCCTGTGTCCCGCATCCCAGTGCTGCGAGCTCCTCAGGGGCAGAGCTGGGCCAGCCTTAGCTATTTACCTTGTGTCCGGGCTAGGAGAGAGTTGTCGACGTTGCTTTTGCTTTATGAATCACCTAGCTGGGGCTTAAGAAGCGCTGGGATGGTGAAGGAGCTCTGGGCACCCTTCATCCCGGAGCTGCAGAGTGTAGCCTGTCCATAGGGGCAGGGTTTGGGCTGCGATGCCTGCAGAAAGTACCCAGAGAGAAGCTGGGAGCTGAAGTGGGGCAGTCAGAGGGAAAACATGAGGCTGTTGGGGCCAAAGAGGCATTTAGGGTGATACTGTGGGTCACTGGGGGCTGCTGCTGTGATGGGACAAAACCCCGAAATGACCTAAACCAAAGTCTTGCACTACACAGTGGGGAAAGCCCTCGTGAGAGGTGGTAATTGAGTGGACACGGTGAAATAATGAGGCGGTGGCAAGTGGAGACAGACAAGACAGACAGACAGACAGAGGAGCTGCAGTGAGGTCAGCAGTGCAGGGTCTGGTGGCTTAGAGAGGTGGAGAAGGTTTGCATGAGCTGAGTTTATTCTCATGAAGATACCCRTCTTGGGTAGCTTTGGCAAGGAACTTTGTCAGTTTTAGTTATTTTTTTCCCTCCTTTGGAAGACCTAAAGATACAGGTTCTCAGTGTGATCTTGCTAACCTGCAGTTCTGATAGTTAGATAGTGTCATAACATTCATGTTTTGTACCATTGCCAGGCTCCTGCCCTAGGTATCTTGGAACAGACTACTCCCAATTGTTGGATGTTAAACTCTTCAACGTTATTATTATTATTTTGTGTGTTTTTGAGACATGTTTCCTGGTACAGGGCTCCAAAATAGCCATTGTCCAAGTGAAATGTGCTGATGACATTAAGTCCAGACATGCCATGAAGCAGCACGTGGGGAATTGCTGCTGTTTCGTGGGGAGACTGCTCGACCCCAAACGAGGGATGCCCTGGTAGGCAGACGTGGAGTTTTTAACTAGGACTTTTTCAGTGTTGCAGCCTCTAAGTGATGCAAGCCAAAAGGAGGTTTGTGGCTCTACAAAAGTTGCATCCTCCTCGTTCCTGGCCACCCAAAATTTCACTTTTGAAACGAAACCCATCCAGTGTTGGATTTCAGGTGCCCTTTCTCTGGCACACGCTCGTCCTCGAGAACAGGGTGTCCTGATTCACTGTCGGGGGAGGTTTCGATACGATCCCAAGAGCAARATTGACTCAAACGAGATCAAAYRCCATGCAAACCTGTAAGCTCWATTCTCATAATSGCAATAAAAGAAAGAGRAGAAGAAGAAGAGCAAAGGGAAAAAGAAGGATAAGCAAGTGAGCAAGCGGGAGAGAGAGAGAGATGCAGCAAGATTACAGTTCCCACCACCACCAGCGCAGCTACGTTTCGTTGGTTCCACCTCGGTGCAGGTGATGGCCTCTTGAAGGAGAAGAGGCCGCTCTCGGTGCGGGTGATGAGCTCCTGAGAGAGTTCAGAAGAAGACGAAGCCGTTCACTTGGTGCACAGGTGAAGAAGTCGCTCAGTGCAGGTGARGAGGAAGGAGGCCCCTCTCCATGGAGAAAATCCTAGTCCTTTTATTGTGCCAGTTCTTGAAGAGTCCGTGAAGATTTCTGGTACGTGTTGTATGTGTCGTGCGTGCTGTGTGCTCTGCTGCTCCTCTTCCCCCCAGCTTGAGTGCCCGTGCTGCTTGGCAGGCGCTGTGGGGCATTRTTAGCCCMAAAAGTCAYGGATCCTCGAGATGATACCACAGTCTTCCTGGAGAGAGGATGCAGCAGTCAAGAGGTGGGAATGGCGGGGCAACAGCACTGAGATGAGCACATCAACCAAGAATGCCATGGTTTGGRYCTTGAGCTGATGTCCCGGTCTTCCAAGGTAAACTGCAGCAACAAGGCAACAGTGTCGAGAGCAGCACAGTCCAAAACTGTCTCTTCAGACTGTCTCTGACACAGGGTCTTTGTGCAGGCCCGTGGTTGCTGTGTTTGCCCAGCAGTGGTTCGGCGGGCGCTGGCGGTGCTGCTTAGGATGCTCTTGCTGGTGCGGCACATCTGCGTCACCTCCAGGTACCCGGGCTTGCCGTGTTCCCCTCCAGTGGGTTGTGGGGCCAGACCTGGGCCTGGCCCGGGCGCCCGCTCCGGCTCTCCGCAGCACAGGGCCCTGCTCTCGCTGCTTCTCCAGCCCTTTTGTTTTTAAGCGCCTCGGGAAGCAAAGGCAGCTTTGTCTTCTGCTAGCAGTTCGGCTCGTTACCCGACACGARGCGTTTTTCAGTGCTCGGCATTCATCTGTGTTCCACAATAGTGAAATTCAGCCTCTTCGCTGAATGCTAACAGACAGTTTGGTACATGGGAGCCCTTGGCATACATTAGCCATCTTCCAAATACGAAGGCCTTTCTTTACATAAGGTTGCCCAGTGTTTGCAAAGGGCCTGGGCTTGATGAACCATCGCTGGCAAAAGCAATGACTAAACAGCAGCCCCGTAGCTTCCAGCAGGAGCCTGAAAGGTTTCTACCCCGGTGAGGACAATTAAAGAGCTGCTTAAACAACGTTGGGTATTTGCATAGCTGAAGGGGGTGTTTCTTTTCTCATACAGAAGACAACAGAAATCCCCTTTCTGCATTTAAAATGACCACATTAAGCTGCCTGTCGCTGGCCCGTGCAGTCCTCTGTCGCCCGTGTGTTGAAGGGTGGYGCACCCAGTGGGTGACACAGGACACAGGAGTCACTCTCCTCCACCGAGCAGGGTTGCTGGGCTGCAAATCCCACCCTTGCTCTGCTCTGCCTGGGAGCTGGCGTGAAATCGCTCCATGCGGAAACGTGAGGAATCTCCTGATTGCAACCACAGACGGGCAGGTGGGACGGAGACCTAAAGCCAGTGATACCCCCTGGATGCCCTACGGAAAGTTGCTGATGGTGGAGTTAGTGCAGGATTGGCAGGAAGATACAGGTACAAATACAGGTAACAGCCGTAGTAGAGAGAGGATAGGGAAAAGGGAAGAGCCGAAGAAAGAAGGATTCCTGCTGCAGAAAGAAGCAATATCATTGTGGAGGTGGTGAACCACTTCCAAGGAGCAGAGCAATAGAGCTAAAATCGAGCTGTGGAGAAGGCAGTATCGTACACACTGTGGGCACGTGGATGCAATTGCTCTGCACTGGGAGCTGCAAAGCCAAGACATCCTGTAACTCACCGAGCTTAGTAGCGTTAATGCAGCCATTGAAAAATTCAAAGTGATTTTTTTCTGATAGAGCGGGCACRATGGTTTCCTGTGGGCACGGAAGCAAGCGGCACGCTCTGATATAATTCACAGTTTTAATTGCCCTGCTTCAGAAAGCACAGGAAAGAGGAGCGGAGGGCTGGGATAGCTGGTTTGGAAGGGACGGCTGAGAAGAGGAGGATCCTTCAGGTTGCAGGAGAAGTGATGAAAGGAGATTTTTAAAAACCCAAATCCTTGGAAAAGGGAGGTAGAGCTTGGTTTGTCCATGGGGCTGCAGCCGAGAGCAGGCAGCCGGTGCCGCTCCCGGCACACRGAGCTTTGGAAGCTGCAGCTTGGCCCGGGGCTGCAGGGGAGCTCACCAAGGAGCCACCCGTTCGCACCCTCTACACCCATGGATGTCCTCCCAGAAGTGACCTCAGGAGCCTCATCTGGAGAACTGCAAGCCGGGAAAATATTCAGGGGAAACCTCTGCTTTTATGGGAACACGCGGGAACGGGCTCCGGGTTTTCCATCCGGAGCGAAGGCTGAAAGGCAGCTCGTCACAAATAGCAGCGGTGGGGGATACGAGAGGCCGGGGAAGCCCTGCTGGAGCTCAACGCCTGCAGCTGAGATCCCTGGAAGTGCTGCAGTGGGGCACGAGGCGCTCGTCCGGTGCAGTGGGCAGCAGCTAGGGAAAGGAGAAGGTGGCGATAAGGCTGGGAATGACAACGGAAAAGCCACCGTGGTCACCTGCAGTCGTGACGTTCTGCTGCTGCAGAAGAGAAACCCGGGTCCTCCACAGCTGCTCTGTGCAAGTCGTGCCCAGAGGACACATCTGGGCTCGAGCTCTCCCTTCTGGGCTCTAGATACTCAAGAAATAGTCCCAGAGGGGAACTAGGGTATAAAAGCTGAGCTCAACACAAGCCTAAAAAAAATACCCTTGCCTCAGCGTAACTAAGTGAAATAGTTGCAGATTTGGGTGTGCTCATGTTTGCAAGGGCCCTGCAGGTCCACCTAAAGCTGCACGCAGCTCCACTGACCAGATACGATCCACAGTATTAACTTCTTATTACCCCAACATGTGGAAGAGTGAACTCTCTTCCCATTGACAATTTGCCTTGGGTAGATTCCTATATAAAATATTTATCCAGGACAAAAAAAAAAAAGGCAGAAAAGCTGAAATTTGCCAGTCGTGCCGTGTGCTCCAGCAGTTGCTCTGGGCAGGAAGCTCTTGTGCTAAAGCTGCAGCACGGCTGGTGGCAGCAGCGCAGCCTCCGTCGCTCACTGCTCCATCTGCCGGGTAGTTTGGGAGGTTTTTAAGTTACCAGCAGATAGATAGAGTGGGACTTGGTTAAAAACCTTAGGATTATTTGTCTGGAAGTGATTTAATGCAATGCACTGAAGCCCTTTGCTTCACGCCTTCCCCGAGCGCCCCGCTGCACCCCAAGGGCTTGGGGCTCTCGGAGCGCAGCAGGAGCTGGTCCTGAAATTCCCTCCCCTTTTAGCATCACGTAGCTTAGGCACATTTGAACGTTGTTGGATAAAGAGTGAATTTTTCACTTTCCTGGTGCTTTCCCTCTCGCTCTTCATGYGCGGCGAGCTGCTTTGCCATTGTTTTGCAGCCCAACAATAAACAAGAGATGGTCTCTGACCCCCGATGCCATTTACCGAGGTGGATTCRTCCTTCCTGGACCGTTGGAAAACATAATTCATTTTCCCTATGGGCTTCGCTTCCATCAGCTCTCTAATACCAGAGCCATTAAGAGCTCTCTCTGAATAATGAATGGGCAGAGCCATTAAGGAGCAGAGAAACGGAGGCGCTCACGTCCTGCCTGCCCGGCCTTGCTAGTGCTCGCTTAACCAAGCCCGGGCTGCAGGCCCCGGGCCGAGGACARGAACGGCTCCGCGTCCCAAAAGCGAGCGGTGTAAAATCAATCCGAGTCCCTACTGTAACAGTAGGCGAGGAAGCAGAATATCACTTATGTATAAATATGTATTTAAGGCGTTTCTGGCACTCTCCTGCACCACGTAGGCAAGTCAGTGGAGAATGAATGAGGTAGCTAATGGGTACGGAGCTTGTGGAGGAGGAATTAAGTGCAAGGAGGAGTCTCGCTGTGGCGGTTGGAAGGAATCTGTGCCAGGTTGCCTGGCTCTTTAAAGCACTCTCTTTTTTTCYCTGTATTGCAGCGTGGTGCCCTCCCCTTACGTTCAACGTAGAGGTTGCAGGGGGCCCTGGTGGCTCGTGTGTGTGGTTTGGAAGGACAGCTCTGTAAACCGAGGCCCTTGTGGACGACACGAGGTCTCGAGGGTTGCACAGACACCGTCCCCGTGCTGCGGCTCGCACCCGGGCTGCTCGTAGCTGCTCTTTGCCCTCAATGTGCCCCGCATGCACAACCAAGGGTTACACCGGGTTTCCAAGTTGCCAACTGATTTGTGATGGCTGTTATTTAAAAAGAAATAGCAATTTTCCATCATAACTTGATACCAGCTTTATTTAATGCTGTAACTTACCGCTTCGCTGTCCACAAAAGGAGGCAAAAGATGAAACTATCTGCAACCCAGGTATCTGCAGCTTGGTGCAAACCAAGTGAAGCAGCCCAGCAGCTCTCTCTTTTGCCGTGGGTGACTCTCAAATAAATGTCTTTTTTAAAGAAAGAAAAAAACCCTTTAAAGTTAAATGCAAAAGAGAGAGGTCCCGAGCTTGAGCTTGGCGGGTGCCCGGCGCTGCCGTCCCTGTTCCCTGAGCGCACGAGGTGCCCGCGCGCCCCGTGTCTGCGGCGCTCGCCCCTCACGTCCCCTCTGCCCCTTCCCTTGGCAGGGACACGGCGGGCCAGGAGCGCTTCCACACCATCACCACCTCCTACTACCGCGGCGCCATGGGCATCATGCTGGTGTACGACATCACCAACGCCAAGAGCTTCGAGAACATCAGCAAGTGGCTCCGGAACATAGACGAGGTGAGCAGAGCCCTCAGCCTCCTGGAGCCCTCGTGCCCTGCGGAGGATGAGATGAGCGGCCCAGAACTGGGTTTGGGGGAGCAGCGTCTCACACCACGAGCAGGAGCTGCTGTGGGTGGTTTAAAACAGGGTTGGCTGCAGCTCCCGGAGCACCTCGTGTGTTGCTGTCCTCCCTCAGGCCTCCCTTCAGCAGTGGCTCAAATGCCAGGGCTCAAATGCCAACAAAGGAGATTTCTGCGCTGGAGAATGTTGATGTTGACGAAGCTGATGTCCTCAACATCAGAGGACCAGAGTGGGGCCAGGTCTCTAATTCCCCTTGGTTATTTAACCCAGTAACTCCTCTGAAAGCAAAATATAGGTGAGAAGCCTCCTGGCTAACGTAGTTGTTTGGCTTTGCGGTGGCTCAGAGCACAGTTGCAGTTCTTAAGGAGACTTGCTCGTCTCCACGMTGCAGAGGAACCCTTGAGCACCAAGAAACAGAATCCTGTCAGAGCCATTTCAGCACGGAGCGTGACTGCTGGCAGTCACTTAGTCCTTGCTGCAAAGGAAGACTTCCCACAAAGACTGAAGAATAGAGTGGAAGGGGAAAGATGACTTAATGTTGGGGTGGCAGTGGAGCTTTGTCAAAGCTGTAGCTGTTGTCTCGTTCCACTGGCAGCCCTTTAGCTGAAGGATACTGTGCAAAGAGTGATTTCTAGCAGCCTTTGTTGGGATTTGGGAAAGTGCAGGGCAGCTAGACCTGTAAACATCAGACTGGGCTTCACACAGCCTGGAAACAGGAAGGTAAAGGAGGTGTTTGCTGCTTGTTGGAGGGGGTGTGTGTGTAAACACATCTCCTGGTCTCATTTTAGCACGCCAACGAAGATGTGGAGAGGATGCTGTTAGGAAACAAGTGCGACATGGAAGATAAAAGAGTTGTCCCCAAAGCAAAAGGAGAACAGGTGAGTGGTGGACAAGAACCTGCTTGTCAGAGCAAGCAAACGGGGGCCACGACTTCCTGGCCTCTCCAGATAGGTGAGGTGCCCTRGAACAAACGGAACAGCTGGATTTGCTGGTGGTTGGTAAGTGTAGGGAGCGTTTCCTCAGCAGTTGCATTGAGAACAGCTGCCACAAATGGAAGGAGCTCAGCTGCAGGGTCTGCTTCCTTTGGGAACTAAASTGTTGCAGATATCCCTTTATTAAACTGCTCACCGTGGGGCAGGTTTGTGTGCTACCCACCTGCTCACATCCAGGCATCGACCTGTAATTTAACACACTTTCATTGCTGTCCCTTCATCAGTAAGCTCTGCATCTTCTGTTGTGACAGTTTGCCTGACTTCATCTCCCCTCTSCTGCCCTAGCAGCATATTATATTCTCATAAGTTTTGCTCCTACCCGAGTTACAGCTGCACCGATTTGGTATCTCCACAGTAATGCTAACCTGCTGCTTTTTTCTTCTTTTTTCGTTCAGATTGCTAGGGAGCATGGTATTAGGTTTTTCGAAACTAGTGCAAAAGCAAATATAAACATTGAGAAGGCATTCCTCACATTAGCAGAAGACATTCTTCGAAAGGTAAGTGCTTGCAGGTTCTGTCTTCCTGAGCATATTAAAAAATAACCTAAAACTTCAGCTAAAAAAAAATACCCTTGCCTTCAAAATTCACCCGAATTGTTGCAGCTTCTTATTTGCCACCTTAAGATCACCACCTTCTTGAAGGAGGAGTATTGGGTGGTTGAAGCTTCAGGTGGTGGTTTGATGCTTCCGTATTGCAGAGGTCCTCCCCGGAGGGAGTAACACACGTCAGAGCGCCAAGCAATCCAAGCTGGTTGCTCTTGAACTCATAGTTGTGCTGTAGCTGGCCTGGAGTTAAATTGATCTGGAATTGATGTAGGAAGGAGCTCTCCTTTCCCTCCTGCCCTTCGTCTCTGCCGTGCACAGGGAGCRTGAACGTTTGCAGCTCCGTGTCGGGATGGCTGCAGTCGGATCCTGGGAATGCCAGAGCCAGCAGGCTCCGTGTGAGGCCTCACAGGCCCTCCAGGAATTGCTCTAGTCACTATAAAGTCTCCTTGTGTAAAATACAGTTTGAAAGATGGCAGTGGTGCAGAATCTGCAGGTGCCTCCGTGGGCTGTTCTGCGGGTTACGCCGCAACTTCAAAATGTTTCAAATTTTAAATTTAAAAATGTTTTAAAATGTACCCTTCATTTCCGGGATGCCTCGTTCCATTGCACAGTTGTTGAACCCCATCCTGATCCTTWCCTCAGCTGCAGGAACCCCCGGCCTTTCTCCCTCTTCTCCCCCTCCATCCATCTGGCTGGTTTATTAGCTAGGCTTTGAGCCATCCGTCCCGATACTGGGTGTTCCTGGAAGGCGTCTGCCAGGACACCCAAGTGTCTGTCAGGAGTGATCTGGATCCAAGGGGCACATGGACCAAACCCGGCGCTTCCCACCCCGTTTCTCATGGTCAGCCCTTCCAGCCTCAGTGTGTTGTTGGGATGATTCCCGCAGCCTCGGCACCGCAGCCTCCCTTCCACCCGCCGCTCCTGTTCAGGGCGAGGCCAAGGCCGCCCTTTTGCACCCCATTTCAGTCCCGATGTGCTCAGCAGCTCCTCGTTGGCCGCTGTCGTCTTGCCTTGCTGCTTCGTCAGTGCTTCCTGGGCTTCGTGGGAGAAAGTAGGTGAAAATGGGTGAAAACCAGACAGACTAGCAGCCCCAGACAGTCCTTGGGGCCTTCACATTCCTACCGTGGACCTCCAAAGGCCCACCACGTATGTGATGGAACTTCAGGCCAGTGTACAAACAAACCAGGGACCTTGGATGGGCCCGGCACCCTTTTTCCTTAGTTGTTCTCGCCCTGTTTGCCCACAGTTTGTGCGCAGGCCGCCTTGGCGATACCTCCCCACAAACCAGGGCTGAASCCGGAGCTTTGCTGCCCAGCGCCGCCCCATTTACCTAACTTCTCGCCTTGTTTCGTTGCAGACCCCTGTAAAAGAGCCCAACAGCGAAAATGTAGATATCAGCAGTGGCGGTGGGGTGACGGGCTGGAAGAGCAAGTGCTGCTGAACCTCTATCACCAAGCGCCATCCACCGCCCCTTTTTTCTCGCTGCAAAACAAACCACTCTGCCCGTTTTTAACCTTAAACCGACGTTTTGTTCCCATTTTAACAAGCTGCTGTCTCCCTTTGTCTTTCTGTTTAGGACAGCTTGCGTATACTATAATTTTCTCAACAACATGTATAGGAAAAATCATGTCCGTGACTTCATTTTTTTTTTTTTTTAAATGTTCCTGCTCAACTTACCACTACGTTTTGGTTGTATTATAGTCCCGTTCTTCCTGACATTAAAACATATAGCAATCATATTCAACTCTACTCTGCAAATTGTATAAGAATAAAAGTTAGAATTAACAATTTATTTTGTACCACAGTGGAATTTTCTGTCCTGGATCATGTGCTCGAGCCCCCATCTCTAGCCGCATCAGCAGCCGAGCCAGGAAAAACACTCATTTTCGCCTTGCCCGTGTGAAAGGGGTTTCTTTTGTCCCGTGCCTTACGTGGAAAGGAACTTTGGTTTTGCATCGCTGTTGTCTCCTCCCGGCGCCGCGCTGTCCCCAACCCCTTGTGATGCTTCGAGGACARAGGGTGGCGGCCGGCGCAGCAGGACCCCGGCCCGCGCCCGCCCCCCGCGCCCCTTCCTTGGCCTGCATGCTGCTTCGGTTTGCCCCCCGCCCCGTGTGATGTGCTCGTTAAAAGGATGGCGACGCGGCGTCTTTGCCGGAGAAGAAACCCAATTCCAAGCACTGATTTTAGCTTTCCGGATGAACTGCCGACGATCCCCACTAACTCCCCCTTAGCCGCCGTCGGGTCACTAGTTAAAGCTCCCCTCTCCTGCCTAGCCCTCGGGTTGTAGCTATGGACGAGTTACTTGCATGCACTAGTTCTCTATGGAGGGTGATGTGGTTGTGTGTGTGTCTGAGTGTAACCCGGCGTTCCCGCGGGAGCCGCTCCCGCCCCGCGGAGCCCCCGTTCCGCCCGCGGGRGCGCCGGGATTCGCTGCCCCCCACCCCAGACCTGCCCGTTGCCGCCGCTCCAAGAGGCCCTTCCATACCGGTCCCCGGCCCCGCCGCCTCGTGCGAAACCCGCGCTTCCCAACGGCGTCCGAAAGGGAAAAAGGGAGCAAGGCGGCGGGGGCGGCGGCGCCCGGGGCGCTCGGCTCCTGCTGTAACCGCGTCGGGACCCTGTGTAGCGGCCGCCGCCGGCTCCGCGTCCCCCCGCCAAGCCCTCAATAAACCGCAGCGTTTCTGGACGGTCTCGTGCTCTTCCTGCGCGCGCGGCCGCGAGCCCCGGGGCCGCCCGGACAAGGAGCCTCCCCCGGGAAGCGGCGCCCGGAGCGGCGGGAGCCGCATCCCGGCCCCGCGCGGAGCCCTCGGGACACGGGCCCGCCCCACGCCCGCCGCTTTGTTTTTTTTTTTTTTGTTTGTTTTTACTTAATCTTTTATTTTTTTTTTATTTTTTTTTTTTCGCTACTCCACTCCGGCGTTTTATTTAAAGCACGTTTCTTTTGTACCACTTACTTGTATGGAATTGTACAAACCGATCACTGTCCCGGTCTTGGTGGTTCCAAGAGCAAATAAAAGCTTTTATAAACTTGCCTCCGTGGCTTGCTGGGCCCGCGCGCAGCCGGGGCCGCGGGAAYCTCGCCCGCTCCCTGCCCTCTCCCRCCGGGATGAGGCTGCATCCCAGGGCCCTAGGGCTGCATCCCGCAGCCAGGCGGCTCCTGGTGCCAATCCGCAGGGATTGGGAGCGCGTCCTGGTGCCTCCAGCCGCATCCTAGGCCTGAGCTCGGCTCTCCCGATATTCCCAGGATCCAGCTCCTGCTGGATCCATCTCTGGATTCCGCCCGTCTCTGCCTGCACCCCAGCCCCTCAGCCTGGGTTTTCCCATGGGAAAGCCATGGAAATCGGGGCCTCCGCACAGCTCCAAGGAAGGGGGCTCCGAGCTCGGTGCCTTCCCAGGGGGCGGCCACATCCTGACCCCCCTCCTGCCGGCTCYGGGGCTCCGGGGCTGGATCCGGCASCGCYCCGAGGCTGCGGGGAGGCGGCAGCCCCAGCGCTGGCTCCGGGCTGCTGTTCAGGTCCATGTCCRTGTCCACATCAGGGTCCGGGTTGGGGCAGGATCTGGATCCAGTTTGGAGTTCGGGTCCGGGTCAGGATTTGGGGCAGGGTCTGGGTCCAGGTCTGGGTCTGTATCCTTGTCTGGTTGGGGTCTACGACTGGGTCCTCGTCAGGGTCTGGATCCAGGTCAGTGTCCRGGTCCGGGTCTGCGTTCAGATACAGCTCGAGGTCCAGGTTTGGGTCTGGATCGGGACTGGCGTTTGGGTTGGGGTCTGGGTCCAGGTTGGGGTTAGGATTTCGGTCAGGGTCTGAGTCCAGGTCAGGATTGGGGTCCGGATTGGGTTTTGCATCCAAGCCAGGTCACAATTGCAGTCTAGGTTTGGGTCCAAATCTGTGTCTGGTTGGGGTCCTAGTCTGGGTCTGGGTCTGGATCTGAGTTCAGGTTTAGGTCAGGGGGTCCGAGTGGGGGTCTGGGTACAGATCCAAGTCCGGGTCTGAGTCCAAGTTAGAGTCGAGGTCGGGATCCAGAGTTGASTCTGGGACTGGGTCGGGGTTTAGGTCGGGATCTGTATCCGGGTCCGGGTCCACGTCGGGTTTTRCATCGGAGTCCGTGTGCGGGTTGGGTTTTAGGTCGGGGTCCGTGTCGAGGTCGGAATCCAGGCGCAGATCCGTGTCGGGGTCCGTAACCAGCCTGGGGTCCGTGTCCGAGCCCGGCTCCCGATCCAGCTGCGATGCTGGCTCGGTGCCCGTATCCAGGTCCGCGCCCGGCTCCATGTCCGGCTCCGTGTCCRTGTCCTGGTCCGTGTCCCAGTCTGGCTCCATACCCGTATCCGGGTCCGGCTCCGTGTCCCGGTCTGGCTCGGGCTCTGTGTCCCGGTGCGGCTCTGAATCCTGGTCCGTCTCGGGCTCCGTGTCCCGGTTCTGCTCGGGCTCCGTGTCCCGGTCCGGCTCCGAATCCCGGTGCGGCTCGGGCTCCGTGTCCCGGTCGGGCTCCGTGTCCCGGTCCGGCTCGGGCTCCGTGTCCCGGTCCGGCTCCGAATCCCGCTCCGGCTCGGTCTCGGGCTCCGTGTCTCGGTCGGGCTCCGTGTCCCGGTCCGGCTCCGAATCCCGGTGCGGCTCGGGCTCGGGCTCCGTGTCCCGGTCSGGCTCYGWRTCCYGGTCCGGCTCGGGCTCCGTGTCCCGGTCCGGCTCCGAATCCCGCTCCGGCTCGGGCTCCGTGTCCCGGTCCGGCTCCGAATCCCGCTCCGGCTCGGGCTCCGTGTCCCGGTCCGGCTCCGAATCCCGCTCCG